AGAATAAAGGAGGTAGAGAGAAGGAAAGTGAGAGGGAGGAGGGGGGAGAAAGAAGGAGGGAGGGAGGGAGGGAGTGAAGGCCTGAAGGGTAGAAAGGTAGTGAGGGACAGTGGGAGGGAATGGAAGAGTGAAGAGAGAGGGAGGGAAGAGGGATGGAAGTGAGGGAACAGAAGAAAAAGAGAAAGAATAAGTGGATAGGTATCGTAATAGGCAACTGGATAGGGGATAGGATTCTCAATAAACCTTTCGGGACATTACCCACATTAAACTGACTCACTTAAAACTACGACACCAAGTTGACGACTAAGAAAATGGCTTCAAAATCACTCTGAGACTCTACCGCCATAACTATTTATCTCTGGAACCCATTAGAACTGAGATCCATTAGTGCTGGAACCCATTAACCTTCAATTCATTTACCTGGTTACTAATAAGATCCCTCATTAACCAAATACCTGGTTTAATTGATCAATAAACCACGAGATAATCAACAGGTTAATGATGTCTCAGGTGAAAGAGGAGAGAAGGCGTTAACGAGGCTGTACTGTAGTTAATAAGTGAGGGGTACAAAACAAGGTGATTAGGTAGTTAGTAATAGGAGGACTTGTAAATAATAGACGAAAGTAGGAAAACTGACAAATAATAAATGGGAATAAATAAGATACAGTGATAAATTATACGAATTACAGTGAAATACAGATAAATACATAATACAAGATGGGTGGATGATATAACGAGATACAGAAGAATAAGAAAAGTCTGAAATATATGTATGAATAATAATAATAATAATAATAATAATAATAATAATAATAATAATAATAATAATAATAATAATAATAATAATAATAATAATAACAATAACAACACTTAATACAAATAAAAACAAAAACAAATAATAACAAAGAAGAAACAACCCAGAGAAATAAACAAAAGACAACAACAACTAAACAAAACAAGAAAATAAACAACACTTTTACACATAGAAGTAACCAACCACACATGAAAATATATACCTAATATTATACCACCAATACATTAATATACCTTAAATTATACATAAACATACATATATAACATTATAACATTTACATAATGGCAATCTAAACCCAACTTGTTCATCTACAACAGCGGCAGAGAAAAGTGTATAATGCTGTTTGATGTAGCGGAGCAAAGCTGAACAAAATATTATGGTGATTTATAATTAATTCTGTCAGCGGCAGCAGTGACCCGCCATAGTGAACTGCAGCTGTTGTGACGCAATGTTTCGTTTACCTAATCTAGTTGTGACGGATTATTAGGCTTTTGTACTTTAGTTGTGATGGAGTGATACCTAACCTAACCTAACCTAACTTAATTTTAAGCAGACCTAACTTAACCCACTGTGACTCTAACCTAATCGTATCTTAAATTAACCTAGTCAGGATGATCTAACACGGGTCTAACACAACCCAACCCTAACCTAACTTAACCCTAACCTAACTTGACGTAACATAACCTAATCTTAAATTCCCTTTACTCTTAACTTTCGGCTAAACTAACAATAGGTCACTTTAGTCATTAGCTGCTGTCATTACAGTCTCACAAAGTTGAAGGTCCCTAAAAGAATGTAATTACGATACAAGCTGTAGTTTAAGTGATTGTATCGGCTGTAGCTTTAATACTGTAGCGTCTATGGTTTAAATAACTAATACAATACTTTATGTAGTTTTAAATTTCTCCACACCATCTGCATTTCCAATTAATGTGGCAATGTATTTCTTGCAGTTCGTAACAAGATAGGTGAGGTGTTACCGTGTCTGGTCTAATACAGTCACACATATTTACCTGGTAACAAGGAAGACTATATATTAATTATTATTATTATTATTATTATTATTATTATACCTGGAAAGAGGAAATATTCATACCTGTAATATAAAGATCAATTAAGCACATCATTAATATACAGTATAAATAAATATTACAGAGAAATGTTATGACAAATAAACAACCCTGAACAATAACAATAACACCTATAACCAACAACAACAATAACAAATAACAAACACAAACAATTAAAGTAAAAAAAAATTTATATACTGAATATCTAATTTCTAATCCCCTCCCATCCTCTCTAAAAAAAGAAAAAAAACCGCAAAGATTAAAAAAAGCGAATATGTTGCATTGTTGTACTGTAAGGTTGAATGGTATGGGGGGCGGTGGCAGCGTAGGCGGACAGGTAAGGTGGAGGTAGAGGCAGGTAAGGAAGGTGACAACGACTAACACTTACGTACTTACCTTTGTAGTAAATGTCTTGTGAGTAAGATGATTCTGTAGATGGTCTCGAGATCTCTGTCCATCGTTCATCATCCCAGAGGAGAGTGAGGGAGAGTGAGAGAGAGAGAGAGAGAGAAAGAGAGAGAGAGAGGTTAGGTGAGTAATTTAGATTGGAGTGTTTGTTATGAGGAGGGGGTGAAGGAGGGGTGGGGGGTGATGTTGAGGGTGAGAGAGGGGTGAAGCGAGGATGTGATGAGGAGGTGATGGGGTTATGAGGAGGGGTGAGGGAGGGGTGGTGGAGAGGGTGGTGATGGGAGGGTAATAGGAAGGTGATGGGGTTGAGGAGGGGTGAGGGGTGAGGGGGTGATGGAGGTGGTGATAAAGGGTACTCCAATGGTGATATCTTTAAAGAATTATATTATTAAAATCACAATTAATAAAAATCATCAACATTTTCATTGCTTACTCACATTAACTATCATTTTATGCCTTCGTCTTCGTTACTAGTCTTGTAAATAAGGGAAACTGTGATAATACGTGATAACTGATAGACAAACAGACAGATAGAATGAAATATCCTACAATACATTTGAGTTGAATATATATTAGCAACACTCGAATCCAATTCAACACACACACACACACACACACACACACACACACACACACACACACACACACACACACACACACACACACACACACACACACACACACACACACACACACCATACAGGAGACAGAGCTGTAATAGAGGCCTACTATCCTTGGCCACAGCAACAAGAGGGCCACATACTCCCTGGCCACAGCAACAAGAGAGGCCACACTCTTCCTGTCCACAGCAACAAGAGGGGCCACACCCTTCCTGTCCACAGCAACAAGAGGACCACACACACACCCATCCTTAACCACATCAACAAAAGGAACACACACTCCCTGGTCACACCAACAAGAAGGGCCACACCAATAAAAGGGGCCACACAAGGACCCACCATTAAGTTGGACAGCCAAGCTCTTCTCCCTGGTCTTGTCATTGTCGATAGAAGCGTTACACCTGTAGGTAGTAATGTCCTCAACCCGCAGTCCCCTGATAATGAGAGTCGTTTGAAGCTTAGGTGGGCTCTCTCCCAGCTGGCTCTCAACCACCTGGTACCTCCCACCTGTGACAAAAACATACAGGTGGTTAGTTAATGTCCATCCACCAGCTGTGTTTATTAAATGCATCTGACCAACACATTAGTAACACCTAATACAGATGTTATATTATCACCCCCCTCAGCTGGCTCTCTAACCATCTGTTACGTCCCACCTGTGATAGCAAGTGCAGGTGGTTAATTAGTAGACAACCACCTGTGAAGGGAGAGACAGGTAAGGTATCTAGTATCTATCTTATGACGTCATTAGTGAGAGTTAATGTAATGTTTAATAACCAATCACAGATGTTTATTACGTCATTTGTTTACATTATTAAACATTTAGCGTCTGATGTTGATTTGGACATTTGATATCATAAACATGTTAACGTGCTTGATATAAACACCTTAACTTACGAATATAAACATCTTCACGTACATATATGAACACCTCCACGTAGGTAATATAATCACCTCACTTATGTACTTGCCAGGAACCTATTCACGTACCAGAAATGATCATCTTGCCCATACTATCCTGCCAGAACACCACGGGTCTGGGATAGGCCGTCACCGTGCAGTTGATGGCCACGTCATCACCCCTGTACACTCCTATCATCTGATGACTCACGTACACCGCCGGCTCACGGTCTGTGGAGGTGGGAGAAACTTATTGTGGGGCTGATCTGTCGGGGTGTAATTAACTGTGGGGCTGGTCTGTGGGTGTTTAATTAACTGTGGGGCTGGCCTGTGGGAAGCTGTGAGGAAAAATTCATAACACGTGTAAAATAAATAAATAAATAAAATTAGAAAATGAATTAATAAAAAAATTATAATAAAAATACCGAAAAACACGAAAAATAACGATAAAAACTATATAATAAAAACTTAATAATAAAACCGAAAATAGTAAAGTAACACAAACGTGAATAAGTAATTATAAATAAAAAAAAATAATACACACGTAGAAAATAAATCATAAAAAAAGAATTACAACAACAATAAAATGAAATTGTTTAATGGGCCACTTCCCCTTCTCCCTCCACACACACACACACACACACACACACACACACACAGCTCCTGATTTATGTACTGTACAGCCCTGTAAATGTAATGAACGTATATCATTATGTCTAAATCACATGTAAGTTTGTATATTTTCAGCCACCGGCTGCAACTCTATTAATAAACCGTTTATTATTATTATTATTATTATTATTTTTACACACACACACACACACACAGACACACACACACACACACACACACACACACAGAGGGCACTAGGGATATGGTCTTATAATTTACGCTAGGCGGAGGAGTCAACGTACGTGTGTGTGTGTGTGTGTGTGTGTGTGTGTTTAGGTCGGTTATAATCCAAATCACAATGTTTGGGTCGGTTATAATCCAAGTCATAATGTTTGGGTCGGTTATCATAGTAATACTCACATCTCACGTTGAGCACCATTCTCTTGCTGACGGAGGGCGGCACGGAGTTGTTGGCGATGCACAGGTAGTGACCCATGTCCGCCCTCGTCACCGTCTCGAAGGATAACAACCCTACCGTCTTCTCCACCCCTCCTAGGCTCTCCGTCACGCTCGACGCTGTGGCCGCAGGAGAAGAGAGAGGGAGATAGAGATTAATATAATGGCACTGAGATCCTGAAGAAGGGAAGAGATAATGAATGGGAGGTTGGTCATGTCTCACTCCTCCAAATGTCTCTGGTTTTTGGAGAAATTGTCTCTCTCTCCCACCCACCACATAACACCCCCCCCCACTACCCTCTCACCCCACACCATCATCCCACTACCACAACATCCTCACCACAACCACCCACACCCACCAACATGAAGGGCATAAAGAACACTCAAATATGCACCAAGAAAACTCGTGGCATCCTGCAAAAAACATAAAAGGCATAACATAATACAATAAAACAGACACAGAGAGAAAGATCACGACTGAAGACGCCACAACATAAATCAATAAACACAATCACGAAAGAGGAGATGGGAGAAAATATAAATAAAGAGGAATAATAACACAATTCGGATAACCTCAATCGTGTCAAGTAGGACCTGAGACTTGAGATACTTAAAAGGTTATATGAGAGTGAAGGTATAACTTGAAAGTGATGTTGAGGATTACTTTTAAGATTTTTAAGGTTAGGTTAGATTAAGATAGGTTAGGTTAGGTTAGGTTAACTGATGTTATTTCTTCTACTATGTAAAGCGATATAACAGTCACAATCAGTTACAGTATATGGTTCTGTCTGTCTGTCTGTCTGTCTGTGTGTCTGTCTGTGTGTCTGTCTGTGTCTGTCTGTGTCTGTCTGTCTGTCTGTCTGTCTGTCGGTTCTGTGTCTGTCTGTCTGTGCTCCGTCTGTCTGTCTGTCTGTCTGTGCTGTGTCTGTCTGTCTGTCTGTCTGTGTGTCTGTGTGTCTGTCTGTCTGTCTGTCTGTCTGTCTCGGTCTGTGTCTGTCTGTCTGTCTGTCTGTCTGTCTGTGTCTGTTCGTCTGTCTGTGTGTCTGTCTGTCTGTCTTCGTCTGTCTGTTCGTGTCTGTCTGTCTGTGTGTCTGTCTGTCTGTCTGTGTGTCTGTCTGTGTCTGTCTGTCTGTCTGTCTGTCTGTCTGTTTGTCTGTCTACCGCATCTCGCTGATAAACACAAATAAGAGAACTAAGGTAAGACGATAAATTTAAGGCAGAGTAACGAGGATAAAGATGAGAGAAAGGCAACGGTGAGAAAGAGAAGGAGGAGGAGGGGAAGAAGGAGGAGGAAGAGGGGAAGAAGGAAGAGGAGGAGGAAGAGGAATTATGGGCTGAATATATTGCAATATATCTCACCCTAAGAATATATTACACGGGGAGATAATATTTTGTTGTTGTGGTCTGAGAGAGAGAGAGAGAGAGAGAGAGAGAGAGAGAGAGAGAGAGAGAGAGAGAGAGAGAGAGAGAGAGAGAGAGAGAGAGAGAGAGAGAGAGAGAGAGAGAGAGAGAGAGAGAGAGAGAGAGAGAGAGAGAGACCTCATTTATCGTGCAAAATTTGAGTTACATCTACCTAACTCACTAAGTCCAAAGTTTATCACTATAAATTTTGATTCAGAGAGTTTATTTTGTTGCTTTTGTACAGTTAGAGATACAGTTGCAGATACGAACATATTAAAGTACGGTTACACACACACAGATAGCTAGATAGATAGATAGATAGATAGATAGATAGATAGATAGATAGATTTAATCGTGTTAAATACAGTACATAGCTATAGGGTTCTCAACAATATAAAGGAATTTTAAAAGTACTGTACAGAGCTCACACACACACACACACACTCACACACGTACACACTGATTTATGTACTGTACAGCCCTGTAAATGTATTCAATGCATATTATATCATTATGTCTAAATCAAATGTAAGTCTGTATATTTTCAGCCACCGGCTGCAACTCTATTTATAAAACCGTTTATTATTAGTAGTAGTAGTATTATTACACACACACACACGCACACACACACACACACGTACAGTATATCAAAACACCATTCCCGTTTTTCCCGCCACACAGACTACCGCTTGATGACATCCTCGTCAAATGAGAAACTAAATTCCTTCCGTTTCAGATTAATGTTATTATTTTCGATATTCTCTGATACACCGTAACACAATGTATATAGTAGTGTATATATATAAATCTGACAGGTATACACAGGTACATCAAAAAACAATGCCCCAGATTTTAATATATATCTAGAATCTGGACATTGTTTTTCGATGACCCCGTGGTATATAAATCTGAGTGATACATACATACATACATACATACATATATATATATATATATATATATATATATATATATATATATATATACATGTACATACATACATACATACATACATACATACATACATACATACATACATACAGTACATACATGCATACATACAGTACATACATGCATACATAATGAATATACTGTAGGTGTTATGGTTATTTTGAAAATGTCAACACAGACAGACAAACAGACAGACAGACAGACCTCTTTCTAGCTCCCATTTCCCTCACTTACATCATGTCTCCTTCGTCCTTATCTCTTCCTCTTC